AGAGTGTCAGTAATAAATTCTGCACAGTTTCTTAAGCACATGTGCTATAGAATGAGTAGTTCGTGTTTATAGTCATTTTATTGAATCAGAGCAAGACTATAGGTTTACAATAACTTCCATTTAATTGGGGTCTACTCTGTGTAAGGTTATGACAGTAAGGATTCAGCAACTATTATTACTCATTATTACCCATAGCTCCTCAGGTAGTTATTATCCCCATTTTACAGGTGAGGAAGAAGATGAAATTCTGTACTTCATGCACTACATATTAAAGCAAGAAAGTAAGGACTTTTCTGATTTATTAGAACATTTCAATGAACTAAAATACTTCATTCCCTTAGAAGCTTGATATTTGAAGTTTTCCTTTTAAAGCACAAAATGTATTTTCGGTGTTTATGATCAAGGTAGACACTATGAAATCAATGTGCAACTATAATCGATAGTGTGTCATAATTTAATTGGCAGCAAATTTAATGGAGTGTAAAATAATGTTGCCTCATGCAAACAGTGGCATTTTAGATTCAATAAAATACCATAGGCTTTTTATAATAATACCATTTATTTAGCATCTGCTAGAGGTCAGGTATTGTGTTAATATTATTTATAAAAGTTATCTCATTTGGTCCTTAAAATAGCCTACAGGTCTATACAATGTGTCGTCTGTTACCTCTCCAACCTCCTCTCCTACTACTGTCCTTGCTCTGCTTAAGCCACATTGGCCTCCTAGCCAATTCTCAGATATTCCAAGTATATTGCCACTTGAGGGCTTTTGCAGTGATTGTTATTTTTTCCTAGAATATTTATTACCTCTCCTCTTTCAGGTCTTTATTCAAATGTCACAGTTCTTAAGGAAGCCTGTCCTCACCACCCCAGTTAAAATTGCAACCCTTCTCCAGCATTCCCAGTCCCTCTTATCTTTGCTGTATAATTTTTACTGATCACCTCCTAACACAGTATCTATTTATTTATTTATTAATCTATTGGCTCCCTCTTCTCTTAACTAGAATGTGAGCTCCACAAGGGCAAGAAATTTTGTCTCTTTTGCTCACTAATAGATCTCTAGTGCCTAAGACTGCCTGGCACATGTTAAGCTTTCCATAAAAATAAATATTTGTTGAATTATATTGAACATTTATAAGGGCACTGTGAAATATGGGTTTTAATTTTCATTTTGCAGATATGTAAATTATGATTTGGAGCAGTTAAATAATTTATTCAAAATCACTCATAGAAGTGACAAAGCTGCAATTTTTACCCAAGTTTTGACTTTTATGGCAGAAAACTGGTTTATGTTGCTTATATTAAGTAAATAATATGGTAAAAGGTGTTAAGTACTATGGAAAAAAAATTCTCTGCCTTATTTTTCCTACTTTTTATTTTAAAATGCTTTTAGATTTATAAAAAAGTTGCAAAAAATACTATACAGAGAACATGTATAACTTTTCACAGCTTCCCCTAATGTTAACATCTTTTATATTGTAGCACAGTTCTTCAAACCTAAGAAACTAACATACAATACTTTAACGACCTGCTTCTTTTTTTCCTTTGTTAATCTACCCAGCCCCTGGTATTACGTATGATATCCTTGGTTTTTGGAAAGCAGTTTGGCTGGGTGTTTGGCTTTAATTTTACTTCAGTGGCTTTGATATATTATCTCTGTTTTATAATTTTATATTCATCAAGATTATTATCAAGTATATAAATAATAGTTGCATAAGCTAGATGAATATATTTCTGCAATTTGTCTTTTTTTAGGTACCAGATCATCAGTCCATAAAGTTAAGTAATCTAGGTGAGAATAAACACTATGAAGTTGCCAAGAAATGCGTTGAAGATTTAGCACTCTACTTAAAACCACTAAGTGGAGGTAAAGGTAAGTTCATAAAACACATTTTTACTGGTGAGTAGGACTTGGCAGTACATTTACTTTGAAAGAGTTGATGTGGATATCAAATAAGTTTTGGAACATGAATTTGCTTGAGAGATATCTTTAAAAAATGTATCGAGAGCATTATATTATTTTCTGAAAATAACTAATATTGTTATTAAGTATTCATCAGACCCACTGCATATTGAGATTTATATACAATATTTGAATTCATTGATTAAACTAATTGTACTATAGCAGAATATTGTTTTGATAAGTTCTATTAAGATAATTTCATGTATTCATTCAATCATTCCTTAAATCTTATCCAGCACTTAACAGTGGTTAAGGTCACTGTCTTTCATAGAGTTCACAGTCTATCAGGGGAGGTAGATGTACACGTGTAATAAATTATTTTAAGTACTGTGACAAAAGTGGAATTTTATTTTGTTTACCACTGCATACCCGATGACTAGCACTTGATAGGTATAATAAATAATTTTTGAATGAATGAATCGGTTAAGTATTTATTTTGTTTCTGCTTTATACTTTGCACTGTTTGGTATTTTGGACATAGTGATTTTCTGGAGAAACATATCTTGTCCACCACATGCATTCATTCATTCATTTATTGAACAGATATCTAAGAAGCATGGACTAAGTGCCAGGCACTATTCTGGTGCTTGGGATACATAATTAAGCTAATCAGATACCTGCCCTCATGGTAATTAAGTTTTAGAAAAGGGAAAAACTGCACTAAGCTGTAAGTATAATAAAAAAGCAAATCATATAATGTGTTGTAAGTGATGATTGTTGTGAAAAGAAAACAATACAGTTAGTGAGATCAAAGATGTCAGGGTGCGAGAAGAGCAGATTGCAATTTTTTAAGGGGTGGGTGAAGGCCTCATTAAGAATGTGGGTTTTGAATTTGAAATGAGGTGAAAGAGATGAAATAGTTAACCATGTAGATTCTGGGAAAAGAGTGTTCCAGGCAGAGGGAATATCCAGTGTGAAGTACCCAAGACACACTTAGTGTCTTCAAAGAAGCAAGAAGAGACTGTGCTGGAGAGCAGTATGAGATGAAATGGTGAGACCATGTAACATAGAGACTTACAGGCCATTTAAAGACTTGAGCATTAACTCTGAACGAAATTGGGAAGGTTTTGAGCAGAGGAGTGACATGATCTGACTAATATTAAAAGGATTATTCTGGCTGCTCTGTTGAGAATTCGGAATAGAAAGGCAAGGGTAGAAGCAGGGTGATTGGTTAAGAAGCTGCTGGGACAATGTTAGTAACAGTGGAGGTGGTGAGAAGTGATCAGTCTGGATATATTTTGAAGGTAGAGCCAAGAGTATTTCCTAAATTAATGGATGTAGGGTATAAGAAAAAGCATAAAGTCACATGTGAATCTGGGTTTTTTTGGCCTGAGCACCTGGAAAGAGGGGTTACCATGAACTTAGGGAATACTGCAGGTAAATCAGGTTTAGGTAGGAAAATCTAGCTCAATTTGGTCATGATAAGTTTGAGATATCTGATTTTCACTTGGGTGCTATTGAGTCACCAGTGAATGTATGAGTTTTGTGTTAAGGAATGAGGTCTAGCTGTCCACGGCCATACCACCCTGAACACTCCCAATCATGTCTGATCTCAGAAGCTAAGCAGGATCAGGCCTGGTTAGTACTTGGATGGGAGGAATGAGGTCTGTAACTTTGGGGAATCATTGGCATACAGATGATATATAAAGCGAGGAGACTAGATGAGATTACCTAAATAGTGACTGTAGATAAAGAAGAGAAAAAGACTGGGTTCTGAGGCCCTCTTAACATGAAGAGATCAGAAAAAGATGAAATTAGCAGAGAAGACTAAAAGAATAGAAAGAAGGAAGGAAGAAAACCAAGAAAAAGCCAAAGAGAGTTTTCAAAGGAGTAAGGAATAATCATCTATGGTGAGGGTTGTTGGAAGGTCAAATAAAAAAAGGAATTGAGAAGTGTCCATTGATTTAGCACAGTAGAGGTAATTTTTGTCTTGACAAGAGCTGTTTTATTCAAGTTATAGAGGGAAGAACTTGATTGGAGTAGGTTTTAGAGATTGTGAAGTAAGGAATTGGAAATAGCATAACAGTTGTAATTATGCCCTAGTGGTTAAGGCAATCGACTAGAAAATAGTATAGACAGCTCTGGAGGATTTGCTACAAAAGGGAGAAAAGAAATGGAGCAGAGCTGGTAGGGGAAGATAGATCAATGAAAAGATCTATTTATTTATGTTTAAGATGGACAAAATAACAGCATACTTGTACTTACTATATGCTGATGGAAATGATCAAGTAGAGAGGGAAAAATTGATGATGTGGGAGAGGGGAGAATTGTGGGAGGAATGTCCTTGAGTAAGTACAAAGGAGTAGGATCTAAGAGCTTGCCATGAAGCACTGTTCTAAATGTCTCATGTACAGTAGAAAACAATAGGGTCATTATTAATCATTACTTTTAGGTTAAACTTTATTTAATCATCTTTAAATTTACCTTTAATTGTTTTAGTAAAGATGGAGAACAGACTAAATAAATCCAAGATACTGTCTTTGGACAAATACAACCAAGAGAATAGGGTATCTTAATAAAATCTGAATTTAACCAAAAATTAGACTCCAAGTTACTAAAGAATAATAATGAACAGAATATATTCATTGTTTAAAAATGAAAGTACCTAACAAGGGACTCATTAGGAATTATGGCTTAATAGTTCAATATAAATAATGAAAATTGACTTGTCCTTTTTACTGAAAAAACTTTAGTTCCCTTTGTTTCCCTTTTCCTAAAGGTGTAGCTAGTTTGAACCAGAGTGCACTGAGCCGTCCAATGCAAAGGAAACTGGTGACACTTGTAAACTGTCAACTGGTGGAGCAAGAAGGTCGTGTAAGAGCCATGCGAGCAGCCCGTTCACTTGGAGAAAGAACTGTAACAGAACTGATATTGCAACACCAGAACCCTCAGCAATTGTCTGCCAATCTATGGGCTGCTGTCAGGGCTCGAGGATGCCAGTTTCTAGGGCCAGGTAAGACAGTTCACTATCTTACCTTTCTTATTAGCTATCAGGGCTTGAGGATGCCAATTTCTGGAGCAAGGTAAGATTCCTGAGTTGCAACCCATCTTTATTTATACATATAAATCTTGACATAGTTAAAGATAAGTTGTTTTTTGTTAATCATAATCTGTGTGATAGTGCTTTGGTGTTTTAGAACAAATTTCTCATTTTATCTTCAAGTGTTGTCAAGATAGGTGACATAGCTACAATTTTACAAATTAGAAAACTGAATTAGAAAGAGGCCTAAGATTACACAAGTAATGAGTAAAAGAAAGGTAAGTCTTTTCTTTGTTTTTGATCTAAAAAAAATGTCAGAAACTTTTGATGGTTCTTAAAATTTGTTAAAAAATTAAAACCACTAGGGATAATTACTTCTAATTAGTGCTATCTATGTTGTGTTTTAAAAAATCTTTCCCTATACCAAGGTTATGAAGTACTCTCCTGTGTTTTCTTTTAAAAGTGTTATTGTTTTAATTTTCTGATTTAGAACTACATTTAAATAAGTGACATTGGGACAAGTGGATGGACATGTAGAAAAAAACAAAATTAGATGCATTTCTTATGCCCTATAGGTACATAAATTACAAGCAAGTCAGAAATACTTAAGATTAAAAAATAAATTACACAAGTAATAAAAACAAAAGAGTGAATTTCTTTATATCCTGGGAAGAGGGAATGTTTTTCTAACTTTGCCTCAATGTCCAGAAACAATAAGGGAAAAAATTTGATATTTGACTATGTAATTTTGTGTTTAATTTGTATTGCAAAAAAATTATAAGCAAAGTAAAAAGACAAATGGGATATATTTGTAAATTATATAACAAACAAACAGAGGGCTAACATAACAAATACATTAGGTGCTTTTGAAAATTCAGAAGAAAAAGAGCTACCCAATAGAAAAATAGACAAAAGATGTAAATAGATAATTGATAGGAAAAAAGTAATGAAAATGGCCTCAAACATATAAAAAGATACTCATTCTTTCTCAAATTAAGATTGGCTGGGTGCAGTAGCTCA